GATGAAACCACCTGCAGTTCCCTTGGATACTCATGCTCTGTCTGGTCTCTGATGTTGCACATACTGCTCTTGTCCTTGAAATGCCCTTCACCGTTCCTGCCTGTCTTGTCCCCACAATCCCTGATTCCTTCTGTGGACTGCCTTTCCCGGCCTCTGTCTCACCTGGATCTGGTGCCTGTCATCTGCGCTGCTTCTCTGACTCTGCAAGCATCCTGTGTGCTGCTTAGCATACTGGCCTGTGCTGATGATTGACTCATCCTACTTCTGCGCAGGGCTTTATGCTCCTGTATAAGGCAGGGCCATGCTTGGTGGATTGCTGACCTCAGTGTATAGGTGAGTTCCAGCACATATGAGACAGATGCCCAGCCACAAGGAGCATAGAATGTGATGATTAAGACTCACAGCTCCACTACCAATGTCTGGGTGACCTTAGGCAAATTACTTGACCTCTCAATGGCACAGTTTCCTAATTTGTAAAATGGGGATGATAACAGTGTCTAAGAGAAGATTATGTGAGAATTAAAAGAGGAAAGTAGAAGCTGAATGGTGTAGGAGTTAAGAGCTTGGCCTCTGGAGCCACACCAGCTGTGTGAATCCTGCTCTGCTACATATTATCTGTGTGACTTCTGTGCCTCAGTTTCTTCATCTGTAAAATGGGGATAATGATAGTACCAATCTCCTAGGGTTGCTGTAAATACTTGGCTAATACATAAAAAATGTTGACTTCTTAAGTGCAGAGTAAGCACTTAAATATTACTTATTATTAAGAACCCAAATAGCATTTGAGTGGATGAAATAGAAATGGAGTTACTCAACAGTGGTATATCAGAATTTGGACATCTGTAACCACTTTTTAGGCAGGCAATCTCATTGATGACTAGATGGAGGTTATAGTCAAATGAATGGTTTTAAACCCCAAATAATTGTCAGGGACAGTGACTATTTTTCTTACAACTTTATTCCCTATTTCTTTCTTTATTTATTTTATTAGCATATTCATTGTTACAAATCATACTTATTCTTTATGCCCCTTATTGAATCTCTCCCCTTCCCCCTCCCCGCTCCCCTCTCGCTCCCCCTTCTAGTAACCATAGATTTGTTCTCTCCATCTGCTAGATTAACTGTTCCTCTGTTGGTTTGTTGCCTAGAGCCCAGTATTGAGACAGGTGTGGTCAAGTCCTCACTGATTATCGTAAATCAGATGCTTCTTCCATGACTCTGGAGTGTGCTTTGTGGAGAGAGAGGGCCTGTTCTTTTTTTTTTTTTTTGGTCTCCACTGATGCCTCTCCTTCTGTCAGTGCAGTTGAGAGTCTGGCATGCCACCTACACCGTGGCTGTGACTGGTGCTATAGAGATAGCTACTTTTGTGGCAGCCATAGCAATTACAGTGGCTATAGTGGGCTAATACATGAAGTTGTGTTTTTGGTGTGCTCTTCACCTGGTTGCGGCTGGGTTCATGCTTCAGGACCCTGGCAGGGCCAGGGCAGTGGCAGCAGCTTGCCTAGCTGCAGCTGGGTTAGGCTTCCCCCAGCTCCATGCCACAGGGCCCGGTGGGGCTCTCTTACAACTTTATTCTGAGAAACTTTATTATTGTTCTCTAATTCCCAGATGTTATCATTCAAAGAAGATAGAAGCCTGAGGTCCAAGAGATTGGAAGTTACTTAGAGCAGAAGCAGGGATTATGATAATTTAAAGAAAGCAAGCATAAAGAAAGAAACCTTTCTAAACAATGAAAAGTAAGAAAAATGTTGCTTTTTTGGCAATAGGGTACAAATAATATGTGAAATAGCATTACTTCATGTCCAGGGTTATAGAATATCTCATTTGGTTTAGTCTTCACACAGGTCTTAGCCTATATCTGTGGTTTCAGATTGTCTTGGTGTCTTAGTTTGGGTTCTCCCAAGAGCAGACCCCGAGACAAGGATTTAGATGCAGATGTTTATTGAAAGCAGGGAGGGATGCCCATAAAGGGAACATTGATAAACAGTGGCTGCTCACTTTGAGAATATCAAAACTGAATTTGTAGGAAAAATATAAAATCTGAATTCCTGATTTTTCTAACAAACCCTATCTCAACTAAGGACATCCTTGCAGTTGTTCTGGAAGAATCCTTAGAGACATCCATAACTCCTCACCTTCTCTTATCCCCTACAGTCAACTGTTAGAAATCCTGATGACTCAGTCTTTACTTCCCCTGTTTCCACCCTGGTACAAGCCACACTGTCCTCTCTAACCTGTATCATTGCTATGGACTCCTGGCCAGCTCCAGAAGTCACCCTTGCCCTAACCTTTGTGGTCTATTCCCACAACATAGCCAAAGCACTTCTTTTAAAACTTAATCCAGGTCCTTGTCATTCTGCTCACAATCTTCCAATGGCTGCCATTTCATACATAGGAAAAAAGTTCTTCCAGTGGTCCACCCAGCCCTACACAGTCTGTCTCCTCATTGCTTCTCAGATGTCATGTTCCACAGCACCCCCAGCTCTCTCTGCTCCAGCCCTTCTTTGACCTTGGCTCCGTAATGTTCTTCCCTCTATTATCCACATGGTTCATCCCTCACCTCCTTCAAGTCTTCTCAAATGGTATTTTCTTGAGTGAACAAATGATGTGAGAAGTTACTGGTACAGTTTGTACTGTGTTGTAGGTGCTAAATAAGTGATAGCTATTATTATCTCATTTAATTCTCACAGCATTGTATGATGGCTGCTATTATTATCCCCATTTTACGGGGGGGAGACTGAGGCTAAGAGAGGTTGGTTACCTAGAAAACTGTCTTGACTGTGACTCACAGGAAGGAATGCATTTTACATCTCAGCCCAGAACATGCTTGCATGTGTGGCTGTGTATGAATGTAACTGAAACAAACATTTCACAGACTCTCAGTTAGCCTTACTACATTTGATGTGTTCTGACCTTCTCTACTCTGTCCTACTTGGGTTGTTTGTTTTGTTTTTTGCTGTTGGCCAGTTTGTTGTTACAACACTGCACAGTAACTTGGCTTTTTTTTTTTTTTCAATTGCTAGTTTCGAACTGCTAAGTTGAGTTTAAGAACCCCTTTTGACAAATACTTGTCTAAGCCTTTGATTCCACATCTGTTGCTTTTCCCTGTGGCAACATTTGAACTAGCTTTCTCAAAATTATTAGTGCTGAGAACTGCTCAATACATGGCTGAGTCAGTACTTGTGGCATTATAAGCTTCTTTCTTTTTCTGCTGACCTCTGTAAAAGATGATAAGGGTTTCTTTACACAAATAGACGTGTGATTATAAAGAAAGTATAGTGCAATTAAGAGAGAAATTAAAATAGCTAACAGATGGAAAAGGAAGGGAAAGTATCTCTATCAAGCAATCACAAATAGAGGAATTAAAAGTTACCACTGAATATGAGGGATGGTAGGAAGGCATGAACAGAAATGTGGTGCAGTCTGACCAAGGCATTTATTTGTGGACAGGCCGAAGGCATCATCCCTAGAAACAAAGTCATGCCTCTGAGTCAGTTAAATCTAGTCAACCTTAACAAGGAGTCAGAATAATATTAAAGAAGTTGTGTAGTGCATTTGGCCACTCCCAAGTTGATAGCCAGCAGACTGTTCTTCCTGGCTCTTCTGTAGAGCCCAGAGGCCAGGATGACCAGCAGAGGCTGACCCCTTGAAGCCAGAAGAAAACCTGCAAATGTGGTGGAGCCAAGTGTGATTCATCCACAGCTTGCCCTCCAGAGAGTGACAAAACTGTCACAAATACTAGTATTCTTAGTTATTTTGGGGCCATTTTAATATTAAAAAGAATTGTCACAACAATATTTTGAAGAAAAGACGGCATTATATCAAACCAAAGAGATGAAGTATTTGTAGTAACAGAAGCCTAAGTGAAGGGACAAATACAGAGAGTCGGGCATTGCCTCTGTATGAAATGGCTTTATCTGTGTTGAGAGCATGGTGAAGTTAATCTGGACCCTTTTTCTGATGCTGAATTTAATGCCTGTTAATCCTGTAATTTCTGAAAGTCAGTTACACAATATTTGTTGAGTGCTTACTACATATTAGAGGCTACCTCATCTAGTCTTTGTAACAGCCCTGCAAGAGGGTTCGGTTGTTATTCCCAACTCACCCGAGGGACTTGCCACGCAGAGAGGATACTGGAAACGCCCATGGACAGTCAGTGTGCAGGGGAGGCCAGCATCTCAGCCAGGGGTCTGTGCCAGCGCCTGCACACAGCCACCAGGCCCCCTTGTCTCGTTTTTAGATTCGAAGAGAATTTCAGTAAAATCTCAGTTCAAACCCCTTAGTTAAGTTTAGAGCCAGGCTGAAGTTTTCCTTTGTGCTATTGTTGAAAATGTGATTTGATAAGAAAACAGTATTCAAGAGATTGCAAGGTAATTAGTGTAAAGAAAACAAACTCTTAATTCTTTAATGCTTCTAACCTTTCTTAAACACTTTGATTCAATAGAAATTAGGAAATGATTTTTCTCTGTCCAAATTCTTACCTATTTTAAAAGGTCTGACAAGACTTCTACTTTACAATCTGTTGTTAATAATTCACATTAAAGTATATACAGTAATAAAACTGATTTCTTTTCAGAATTACAAACTTTAGGGGGGTTGATAATTCATACTTATTCTCTGATTTAATAAGGAATAGAACCAAGCATCAAATGGATAAGGACCCTAAATAAACCTTTATTTTCAAATATTGCTTCCATATATGCCTGCCAAATTCTAGCAGTCTTTTTGATGGTATAAAAATGCCTATAGTATAGTCTTTTGATCCTAAAATTCTTTAATTTTAATGACTGGAGACCTACTTCAACCATGTGATTTATTATTTTATATCTTCACTGTTATTTAAATAAGATTGTTCATCCAAAAAGCTTTTGTCACCTATAGTCTGCCAAATATCGGCACCTTGAAAAGACAGCCGATGTTGCCTGCTCTTTAGAAGCTTTTCATAAGGTGGAGAACTTTTCACCACATTGTTCGTTACAATTTTACATTTTTTCTTCCAGATAAACCCAAGCAATGGAGGGATTGCTGCATTACATCAACCCTGCACATGCCATTTCTCTCCTGAGTGCCCTCAATGAGGAGCGCCTCAAAGGACAGCTATGTGATGTGCTTCTGATTGTTGGAGACCAGAAGTTTCGAGCTCATAAAAATGTCTTGGCAGCCAGCAGTGAATATTTTCAGAGTTTATTCACAAATAAGGAAAATGAGTCACAAACTGTATTTCAGCTTGACTTTTGTGAACCAGATGCTTTTGATAATGTTTTAAACTACATTTATTCTTCATCTTTATTTGTTGAGAAAAGCAGCCTTGCTGCTGTGCAAGAACTTGGCTATAGCCTTGGGATTTCCTTTCTGACTAATATCGTTTCTAAAACACCTCAAGCCCCCTTTCCAACATGTCCTAATAGGAAAAAAGTGTTTGTAGAAGATGATGAAAACAGTTCTCAAAAGAGAAGTGTCATTGTTTGTCAAAGTAGAAATGAAGCACAAGGAAGAACTGTTAGTCAAAATCAACCCGATCTAAGCCATACTTCCCAGCCCTCACCTAGCATTGCAGTCAAGACCAGTACCAATAAGCCTCATCTTCCAAAACCAGTTGAACCACTTCACAATTTATCATTAACGGAAAAGAGTTGGCCAAAAGAGAGTTCTGTGGGATATGCAAAGTCTCTTGAGCATTCTGGATCTTTGGATGATCCTAATAGAAGCAGTTTGGTGAAAAGAAATGCAGTATTACCTTCAAAGCCTCTGCAAGACAGAGAATCTATGGACGATAAACCAGGTGTAAGTGGTCAGCTTCCAAAAGGAAAAGCCATAGAGCTGGCTTTGAAAAGACCACGGCCACCTGTTTTGTCTCTTTGTAGCTCATCAGAGACTCCCTATCTATTAAAAGAAACTAACAAAGGAAGTAGTCAAGGCGAAGACAGAAATTTGTTGTACTATTCAAAGTTAGGCTTAGTGATCCCATCCAGTGGATCTGGTTCTGGAAACCAAAGCATCGACAGAAGTGGCCCACTTGTTAAGAGTCTCCTCAGACGGTCACTGTCGATGGATAGCCAGGTTCCTGTCTATTCACCCTCTATAGATTTGAAATCTTCCCAGGGATCATCTTCGGTGTCAGATGATGCACCAGGGAATGTGCTTTGTGCTTTATCTCAAAAGTCATCTTTAAAAGATTGTAGTGAAAAAGCAGTCCTAGATGACAGGCCTCAAGTGCCACAACCACATCGCCTCAGGTCCTTTAGTGCTTCTCAGCCTATGGGTAGGGAGGGAACCTCCCCTGTGACTGAGGTGCGCATCAAGACTGAGCCCAGCAGCCCGCTGTCAGACCCCTCAGACATCATCCGAGTCACCGTGGGAGATGCAGCAGCAACAGCAACAGCCTCATCGTCATCCTCCATCACCAGGGACTTGTCTCTGAAAACAGAAGATGACCAAAAAGACATGAGCAGACTCCCAGCAAAAAGGAGGTTCCAAGCGGACAGAAGATTGCCATTTAAGAAGTTGAAGGTGAATGAGCACGGGTCTCCTGGAGCAGGAGATAATTTTGAAGAAGGCTCAAATCCTACTCTCCTTGAAGCAGATTTTCCAGATTCTGATTTGAATAAAGATGAATTTGGTGAGTTGGAGGGGATGAGACCAAATAAAAAATTTAAATGCAAACATTGCCTTAAGATCTTTAGATCAACAGCGGGTCTTCACCGCCACGTTAACATGTACCATAACCCAGAAAAGCCCTACGCTTGTGACATCTGTCACAAGAGGTTTCATACCAACTTCAAAGTGTGGACACATTGTCAGACCCAACATGGCATAGTGAAGAACCCGTCACCAGCCTCTAGTTCACATGCTGTTTTGGATGAAAAATTCCAAAGAAAGCTGATTGACATAGTGAGAGAGAGAGAAATTAAGAAGGCCCTGATCATTAAGTTAAGGCGCGGCAAGCCTGGTTTCCAGGGACAGAGTAGTTCCCAGGCACAGCAAGTCATCAAGAGGAACTTGAGGTCTCGCGCCAAAGGAGCATACATTTGTACTTACTGTGGAAAAGCATATCGCTTTCTCTCTCAATTTAAGCAGCACATAAAAATGCACCCAGGAGAAAAACCCCTTGGAGTAAATAAAGTGGCTAAGCCAAAAGAGCATGCTCCTCTTGCAAGTGCAGTAGAAAGCAAGGAGGTTTACCAGTGCCGCCTCTGTAATGCTAAGCTCTCTTCTCTCCTAGAGCAAGGAAGCCACGAGCGGCTGTGCCGGAATGCAACCGTCTGCCCTTACTGCAGCCTCAGGTTTTTCTCACCCGAGCTAAAGCACGAGCACGAGAGCAAGTGTGAGTACAAGAAGCTGACCTGCCTCGAGTGCATGCGCACCTTCAAGTCCTCATTCAGCATCTGGCGGCACCAGGTGGAAGTGCACAATCAGAACAACATGGCCCCAACCGAGAACTTCTCTTTGCCCATTCTGGACCACAATGGCGAAGTCACTGGTGCCTCACGGCCCCAACCCCAGCCCGAGCCTAATAAAGCAAACCACGTTGTGACAGCAAAAGATGACCATGTGTTCAATGACTCTTCAGAGCAAGTTAACTTTGACTCAGAAGACTCCTCTTGTCTCCCTGAAGACCTGAGTTTGTCTAAGCAACTGAAAATCCAAGTCAAAGAGGAACCTGTGGAGGAGGCTGAGGAAGAGGCACCTGAGGCCAGTGCAGCCCCCAAAGAAGCAGGTCCTAGTAGAGATGCTAGCCTGTGGCCCTGTGAGAAGTGCGGGAAGGTATTCACGGTGCACAAGCAGCTGGAGCGGCACCAGGAGCTGCTGTGCTCAGTGAAACCATTTATCTGTCATGTGTGCAACAAAGCTTTTCGCACTAATTTTCGGCTCTGGAGTCACTTCCAGTCCCACATGTCTCAGGCTACAGAGGAATCAGCACATAAAGAATCTGAAGCGTGCCCCGTTCCCACAAATTCTCCCTCGCCACCGCCTCTGCCACCACCACCACCACTGCCCAAGATTCAGCCCCTGGAGCCTGACGGCTCCGTGGGCTTATCTGAAAACCCAGCTCCAGCCACAGATAAACTGTTTGTACCCCAGGAATCAGACACCCTTTTTTACCATGCCCCACCCCTTTCAGCAATCACATTTAAAAGGCAGTTTATGTGTAAACTTTGCCACAGGACTTTCAAGACTGCATTTAGTCTTTGGAGTCATGAACAAACACACAATTGAAAGACTGACACTTTTTACCTATTATGAAAGGGAAGGCAGTTTCCAGATTTCAACCTGAATTGTGAAATGTGTCATAAGAAACAAAATATTCTTTAAAAAAATAATAAAGGTTGGAAATTGTTGTGCTTGAATTTAAGTTTGAGATAAACTGATATTAATTAGTACTGTCCTTCCTCAACTTTAGAAATAAACTTTTCAAAATATTGTGGTTCCGGACCTTACCGTAACAAGATTGTTTGATTTCATTAATGCTGAAATTGGATTAATCTTGGTTGTTTGCATGGTTCCTCATTCCAAGGTGTCAGTATAATCATTTAATTGAGGTTTTGCTTTTTACTGATTTGTATTTAGTGGAATAATATCAAAAGTATTTCTTCTTTTCATTATTTCAGACACCTAAGTTCTAAATAAATCTTAGCCATGTTCTTAAGTCCAGAAATGTATCAGGAAGAAGTGGAATAGTTTGCAGTATTGATTTAGTTCTTAGAGTACTTTAGCAATAAAAAAAAAATGATAAACCTCAACTTTAATAAGTTATCCTGACACTTGATAAAAATAAATATTTGGTATTTTGTGGTCATGTAGAACTTTTTTTCATGGAAATTGTGAGAAATTAAATCAGCAATAGAAACACTTAGATTTTTATAAAATAAAAACTTGCTCTCGGTCACTTAATATAATGAATGATGGTCAACTCTAAGGAAGATGGAAATAGAAACATCATGATTTATGGAAGTCCTGTGAAGTCAGTCGCATTATAATAGCTTCAGTAGTGCTAGGCCTTGTCATAAAAACTGTGCTGTGTTATACGTACACTGCATTACTGTCTAAATTCAGACCAGCATTTGAAAGACTTTCTGGTTTTCTCTGATTTATGCTGTCACAAACTGAAAATCTGAGTGTAGTGGGGACAAAAAAAGCTAGCCTGTGGCACTGATTTTGAACTTAACATTAGTATAACAAATAAGGTGGGGACATATATTTAGATAAGATCCTAAACACTCAGAGTCAGTACAGCTGCTCTAAAATTCTAACTTTTACCATTTACTTCCAGAGACTTCAGAGCAGAGGAAGAAACACCATGCTGCAGTTTCAGAATGTTTTTCAAGAACAACATATACAATATACACATTTTCCTGCCCCTGTCTTTTGTGACGATTTCTGTTAGAATTTGTTGCAGTCTATGGTGGTTAAAATGTCAATAGCAAAACCATTCTGCTCTAAGTCACTGCTTAATATTTCATAAATATGTATTAAAGCACTGTTAAGGGTCCAAAATTAGTTTTTGCCACTTACTTTGGTTCATAGGGTTGGGCTTTTTTTTTCCTCTTACTATTTTGTATAAGTTGTAATTAAAAGCCTTTCGGTAGGTGTTATCCAAACTTCAGTGGTGTGTTTCGAAAGGGAAAATTTTTATTTCTCTTGTATGAGCAGTTAGGTATACATTATAAAAAATATTGAAACTGCAAAATCCTTTTAAGGTAGTGATACGGATTAAGGCTTCGAGTTTATAAATTTTTTTACAAACTATTCTTTCGATATAAAGTCAACTACTGTGATTAAGAAAATAATTTTAAATTTGCTCCAGCAGAAAAGAACTGTACCCATCAATCTCATTACGAACATTCCATACCAATTCAATGGTAGGAAGGATATTCTTAATTTTTATTGAAATGCAAGCATTTTTATAAAACACTAATTTGTACATTATAGAAATATATGAAATTTTGCCTTTTATGCTTTCACTTGAAAAATCTTTCAAAAATTCCAAAATATTTTAGTAGTTACTTCCTATTTTGTTCTTAAATTTGATGGGGAAAGGAAAACTAAGTTGCAGTTACTGATTCCTGCCATCTTTATATTTTCTTGAAGAAATCTATGCATATTAAAGATAAAACTAAAGCATATGACTTTATATGCAACGTCAGGATGGATTATCGTACACTGAATTCATTCCCTGTATAATGTGGTATTTCTTATTCTGAATGTCTTGGGTAGTTTTCACTTCTTCAAAAGAAGAGTTTCCCTGAATAATCACCACCTATATGGCTGTTAGAGTATCTGTGATAATTCCATGGTACATAGTATCTTGGCATTGTAAATTCAGTATCCCAAGACTTGAAATTTTATGCTACATTTTTGAAGATTTTTTTTTAAATATTGTTAATCAGTAAAAAATATTTTTGATCTAAATATAGGCTCTGCATATCTGTTAGAGTTTAAAAATTATCAGTGTTTTGTCTTCACATTTTTGTCAAGGCAAGGAATGTAAGATTTCAAATAAAATTTTGAACCAAAAACATTTATAATGCAGTTGCGGTTTTTCTATTACTTTTTATACCGTACCTTAAAAGCATTAGGCTGAAAGAATTTATTTTGGTGGTCAAAAAAATATGCTTCCACTCGTACATATTCTAAATGTTAAGAAATAAAAATGAAAGACATTAATTGCTTTTATTCAGTAAACTTTTTTTAAAGAATGTTTATCTCAACCGGTAGGCAAACATTTGATGTAAAGCAAGTTGGTCTTTCATAGTTATAACTCTTTAGCTAGTAAAGATATTCTTGTAAAATTTTTTTTCTGATTGTAATTAATTTTTCAAAGTGGAGAAAACTCATTATTCCTTGTAAGTATTCAGGATGCCTGCTTTTTTTAATGCAGTTGTGGAAAGAAGGTAAAATGTTTTAATATATTCTTTGTTAATCTGAGAACTTATTGAATCATTTCCTTTATGTTGGGGAAGGAGGGAGTAACAAAATGTGAGTTTTTATCACTCAAGGTAAGCAATGGAAGTAACATTGTGTATTTTTAATAGTAATTTTTCAAGATTAATAGAATACCCACCTTAAAACTAGTTAGAGTAAGTATGTATTTATAATTTTACCAAATCATACAACTGACAATTCAGCAGTGATGTTATTTGCATTTGTGGGGAGATATACGATATTCTCTGTTTTCTGGTTTGGAAGGATTGTTTACAGCCTTCTCTTTGTAAAAATATGCTCCGACACTTAATCAGTGGTCGTCTGAGTCCACATGGAGCCCCCATGTGGACTAATGGGAGTAGCAGCTGTGAGATGACAAAATGTCCCTTTCACAGAACGAGGAGGTAGGAGAGGGAGAGACATGAGAATGAGCAGATATAAAGTTGGCCTTTGTTCGCTCAAATTTGGGTTGGTGTGTGTGTGTATACAACTGTAATCTGGAACTTGAGGAAGTAAATTATTTGAATTTTCTTAGTACAAAAGTAATTAGGTATCATTTCTAACAGATTTGTTTGTAAATTTCATCTAATTAACCATTATTGAAATATTAAAAGTCAGTTTGTCAATTTCTGAGGTCTCAATGTTTTTTGCAATAATTGTGAAACGCATCATTGGTTTAAATAATGCTAATACGTTCTTTAATAAGTTTTCTTTGACACTGGCTACTAAACTTTTCTAAGTTTTAAAAATAGGTTTTTCTCTCTTATGGCTTTAGCACTTTAAGAAGTTTGGTGTTTATGTAATTTTTAATATGTTCTTTCAGTGATCTGAGTATGCTCCAGCTTATGGCATTTCCACATGACTGGAGAGAACACTAAATCAGTGTTTAGATTCTGGAGGAGGAAAAAAATGAATGAATGTCAGGTGTTTTAAAAATTCCTCTTAAAGACAGTCTTTTGGAAACCAAAGTATTTTACTGTAAATCTTTTAAGTAGTTGAATTCAGTACTCTTTAGTCATTTGATAGTGCTGACCAGATTCTCCACAAAGTTTTGCTTGGTTAATACTAATTTTCAGAAGGTAATAATTTCTTTTGACATTAATTCAAGACTCAAGTTTTTTCATTGAATATATGTGTATTGTTAAAAACGAGTGGTTTTATAATTGTGTATATTTTGTTATATGCTTTAGCAGAGTAAATCATTGTTCAACTTTATTTAGGAATAAGCTTTTTTGGACTGAAAATTCATAGTAAAATAGGATTTCTATCTAATGTTAATCCATTGCTTATTTGTGTACAGTTCTGTTGTCTGTTTACTTTGCTTAAATCTTGACTAAGAATGATTGGAGTCAATAAATTTGTACTGTATTTTGCGTTGAATCATGGTCTTGTTGGTATGTTTTGCATTTGAGAATATTTGGTAATAATTACTAATACTTAAATTGATGAAAGTAAAGATGAAGCCTTTTTATGTGGGTAATAGGAATAGCCACTTATAAGTTGGAGATATTTAATTTTCCCCAGTTCTAGGTTGCTTGTAGAATTGTTTGTATTAAAGCTTCAGTTATTTGGACACTACAAATATATAATTAGGATTAGATAAGCAGCAATCTTTGCTCATCCACCTTTTTCTCTCCTATTCAAATTAGTAGTTTTTAAGGTGATCGTGTGTTGGAGGGGGTGGATAAATACATAAAAAGAAAGTTTTTAAACACCCTGCGTTGATATTTCAGCATGGCAATTGATAAACTAGTTTTATTTCATAGTTTAAAGGCTTCAATATTGTAGCATCTTTGTTCATTCTAATGAGGGGGTGTTCTGTAACATCGAGATATATTCCTCTTTTTTATTACATTAGCTTTCCCTGTAAAGTGAAGAGCTGAGCAGTAGATATTTCACATTAACATTACTACCAAGCTCATTGGAAGAGAAGGAACTAGAGAGAAAGAAAGGAGAGGATCAATGACAATTCTGGCTACCCTGGGCTTCCACTCGCCTCTTTGAGTGGCTTTGTTTTCCTTTGCAGTATCCCCCATTAGTCTTTCTTGGAAGCCTCTGCCTAAAGTTTCTTGAACACACTGCACCAGGAACAACTATAATTTTTTAAAAATCTTCCTTTTGCTTTAACCCTCCTATTCAATTTGCCAGCAAATATTGTTTTGTTTTAAAAACTTTACCTTTTTTCTTAGTAAAAACACGCTTGTTGAGTTTGGGATCGTTGCACTCCTGTTGTAGCCTAGGTCTTTGGCACACGCTGAAGACAGTCCCCAACATTTAGTATTTTCCCCAGCCAGAGACTAAATCCTGGCTCTTATGAACATAAGCTGTTGTGAACTATGAAAGCTGAGTGGCAGGTATTCTTTGTACAAGGTGTATATCTGGAGTAGTTTTCCCATGTTGTCATGGAAGCACTTTACAAATCGAGCATGGTGGAACCCTGCTGTAGCTTGAATAGGGGTATCACGTGATTGGCCATCGGCCTCCTTCCTCTGCAGTAGGATCCTTTGGTCAGTTTGTCAGTCTCACAGTAATGCAAACCTGCATTTGCCGAGCTGAATGTCATAGATCCCACTTACAGTGGTTGGCATTATTCCCTTTGGGAAATACTTCCTGGTCCCTTTCCACCTGCTCCTCACATCAGCCCAAAGTAGTTGCACCTCCTAAGTGTTCCCATAAAACCCTAACATAGCTCTATCATTCGACTTGCTACCTTTTATTTTATCCATTTATGGTCTATCCTATGAGACTAGGAGAGACTCGAGGGCAAGGGCTTTTATTATCCATCTTTGTGTTTCCAGGACCTGGCAAAGGAAAGGAACCTATAAAGTATTTCATAAATAAACGAATGCAACAACGAAATCTTGTCAGAAGTGAAGGACAACCAGACCACTTATTTTTAGCTAATATTAGCAGAAAACTGAATCTGAATATCTCTGTGTATATTCCCCAGATTTTGATTCAGCTACTCAGTAAGAGACCATAGTGTATTTAAATTTTTATTTGGTTTTTAGCTCAGGGATGAATGGAAATGTTCAGATAGCTGGTGTTAGGCTGACAAGTCTCTGGAACTTCATAAATGTCAGGCACTCGTGTGCTGCTGTAATTGTTTTGGATGTGTAACATGCCTTAGCTCAGGGATGAATGGAAATGTTCAGATAGCTGGTGTTAGGCTGACAAGTCTGTGGAACTTCATAAATGTCAGGCACTCGTGTGCTGCTGTAATTGTTTTGGATGTGTAACATGCCATGTATGTCCCTGGCAACACTGAAGTGCCCATAGGTTGCGTGGCATGGAGAGTTGCCTGATGCACTCACCAGGTGACCTAAGGGTAGTGACAGTAGCTACCATCGAGTGCTTGTTACGCATGAAGTCCTGCACACCGTGCAGGGTAGTGTTTGTGAAATATCAGTAGGCTTGTTTTTCTCCCACATGGTTCTTTACTTTTTACTTCCTTCCCCATTCCCAGGTAGCCCAGCACTCTCTCGTCTCCTTCAATCTGGAATATTCCTCAGTCTTTCTTTGACTTTTTTGGCCTTGGTAATTTGGAAGATTGTGAACTAGTCATTTTGTAGAGTCTCCCTTAATTGGAGCTTGTCCAGTGTTTCCTCATGACTAGACCCAAGGTATGCATTTTGGGGCCAGAATACCACCGAAGCTATGTTCTTTTCATTTTAACCCATGGGTGGCATGGGATGCCTGTTTGTCCGCTGAATGGTGGTGTTCCTTTTAATTATTTGACTAAGATAACTTCTGCCAGCTTTCTCCACTATGCTTTTCCCCCTTTGCAGTCAATACATATATTGTGGGGAGATATTCTGAGGCTATGTAAAATCCCATTCTTCGTTTCAATTTTACTCATTAATTTTAGCATCTGTTGATGTTTCTTGCCTGAATTTTTATAGTTGTTGCTAAATAGGGATTCGTCTCATACTACCATTTCTTCTTCATTTGTGGCTTTCTGCTGCAAGAAAAAAATGTTCTGTAATTCCCATTAATTTATTCATTTACTTGTGCATGTACTGCAGGCTCATGGATTCCTATTGTATTCATTGGGTTATAATCAGTTGCCATTTATTTTGAAGCTCAAATTACTCTAAATTAAGCAATGGGTGTTTCAAACTAGCTTCTCTGACCTTTGCCATGTCTCCTTTATTTTTTGAGTGTTTTCTTACTTTCTGGCACAACAAGATGTTCCAAGATTGTCTTGTTCTCTCCCTGCCAGAGCCCTGAAACCAGCTGTATCTCTAAGGAGTCTGATTCCTTTTAGTGGAGAGTGGTGCTTGGAAACGACCAAGATCTAGTCGTTAAATGTGCTCATTGACTGTAGGCTGTGGATGCTCCCAGGCCCTTCAGTGGTCAGACTTAAAGGGAAAAAAATACACACACATATGATTACATCTGGACTTATTTCTGAATCTTCCATCTGTACATGTGGGGATCCATGAGTTCACACTGATAGCTTCAGTTCCAATCCAGCACCACAGGGTTCACTCCATATCTCCATCTTCCATGTTTCTACCTGCCCTCTCTGATGGGAAGAACCCGGGTTCCCATTACCTTGGTTTCCCTGTATTAATCAATGTCCTAGCCTCCTTGGGCCTGCCTTCCACACGCAGGCTGACTGCCCACCTCAGGGATCTACCTAATGGATTTCTCTGACAAAGGGAGGGAGGACTATAATTGTTTGTCTCTTTCTGCTTTATTCTGGCTTCATGTATTTTAGCACTGTGATATTAGGTGCACAAATATAGAGAACCAATTAAGTTACCCCTCTATAATTTTTAAAATGACTTTCTTTCTCTACTGTGAAACCTACTTCATTCATATTAACAGAAATACTCCTGCTATTTTTAAAATTAATTTTAGCATGGCATTTTTTTTCATCCTTTTCCTTTTAACCTATTTGTTTCACTATATTTAGTGTGTTTCTCATAGTCAGCGTGTATTTAGGTATTGATTTTTTATCCAATCTGATATTCTCTCCCTTTTAATCAGATATTTAAATCATTTATGTTTAATATGATTATGTAGTTGTATTTAAATCTACCATCTTATTATTTATGTTCCATCTATCCCACCTGTTCTTCCCTGTTTTATCTTTTTCTTTCTTCCTCTGAATTCACTGAATTTTTTTATGATTCTACTTATCTCCTTTGTTGGCTTACTAGCTATAACTTTGTTTTATTATTTTAGTGTTGCTTTAGAGTTTACAGTGTACATTCTCGCCTTGCCATATTATTATTACTTGTCGAGTAATATTATATCATTTTGCATATGATTTAAGAATTTGTAACATATGCTTCCTTTATCCCTCCCAGCCTTTGTGCTATGGTTGTCAGACATTTCACTTTGTGTATGTTAAAAGCCCCAAAATACATTATTATTATTATTGCTTTAAATAGTAAATTATCTTTTAAAAATATTTAATTAATAATTAATAAAGTCTTTATATTTACCCTTATATGTTTGCATTTCTGATGCTCTTTATTTTACCTGCAGATCCAAGCTTCCATTTAGTGTCATTTCCCTTCTGCCTAAAGGACATTAACAGTAACATTTTTTGTAGTGTAGGTCTACTGGTGCTGAATTCTTTCAGCTTGTGTATGTCTAAAAAGATATTTATTTTGCCAACTTTGAAAGATGTTTTTGCTAAACATAGGATTCTATGTTGATGAATATTTTTTCTCTTTCAGTACTTTGAAGATATTTCTTCACTGTTTTTAGCTTGGATTGTTTCCAGTGAGAAATCTGTTGTCCTTATCTTTGTGCATAATGTCTTTTTTTAACTCTGGCTGCTTTTAAAATTTTCTCTTATTATGATGAACTGTGGTATAGTTGTTATGTAATGTTTTTATCAGATTTGGAAAATTTTCAGCCATTTTTCTTCAAATTTTTTTCTCTCCTGCCTTCTCTTTCCTCTCCTTCAAACACTCCAGTTATACATATGTTAAACCAATTGAAAATGTCCCAGAGATCACTGTTGCTCTGTTAAATCTTTCTCTCTTTTTTCTCCCTGTTAGCTAGTTTCTATTGCTATGTCTTCAAGTTCACTGACCTTTTTTTCTGCAATGTCTAATCTGTCATTAACCCCATCTGGTATATTTTTCATCTCAGACATGGAGTTTTCATCTCTATAAAAGTTTGATTTGGATCTTAATTATATTTTCTATATCTCTACTTAACATGTTCAGTCTTTTCTCTACTTCTTTAACATACAGAATATAGCTGTAATAACTTTTTAAATGTTCTCGTCTACTGATTCTATCATCTGTTCCATTTCTGGGCTGATTTCAGTTGATTTCTCTTTCTCCTCATTTTGTTGCGTCTTGACCTGTCTGCTAATTTTTTGTTGGATGGCAGACATGGTGAACTTTACCTTG